TTCACCCTTCCATCCAGATATGCATCAAGAAATGCATTTGCCTCTCACATGATCACAAGACGAATCTCCTGCACATTTGCTTTCTGAACAAGTGGTGCATTGGTTCCGTTATTACATTCTTAGATGTAAGCACTGAGTCACCTTTCTTTGTAAAACATGCATGAAGAACCAAACACATAAAATATATGTTTGACGAATGCCTCCCTGCTTTGGACATAGATTATCAGATTAACATGACACAGATGATCACCGGTTTGATGCTTACAGGACAATGATCATGAATACATCGACATAGAGATAATAAATCACCTACCATAACAAACACAAACTGCATATTAATCACTAAATGACTCAAAACAGACCATGACATTTAAAGATTAATGTCCTTGGTAACCTTCAGTTAAACCGATCATCACATAGTTTGTTTGGTTCAAAGTTATACTTCTTCTTACAATTCCTCTTCCGTTCCACACATACTCCATGCATAATATTTTTCTTCTGTTTGGGAAGAGTATAGAAATTAAGTGTATATCTTCCATGTATGGTCCTGTTGGATATGTTGTATCTGTCAGGAAGCAACCATGAAACCGGAAATATACTACACTGTGAAGTCGAAAGCCGTTTATTCAAGAACATTACTGGTGACTTAGTATGTGAAACACCCGAAGAGCAAGTAACATTAGCCGACCTCGCTAAAACACTCAATGGTATCTTTGACCAGAAACTCGAGTTGTTTACATCTTCTTCAACAATAAACCATCTCAACTTACTGATGGGAACTTAAAACTGAAATCTAAACTCCATCGCCATGTGAAGATGGACAACATGGACTAACAATCTGAATGTATTTAGAATTAATGAAGGGAGTTGTGAATCATGGAGGGAAACAGAGGTGGGACTGCTACAGAGATTGCTATAACAAGGGAGATATTTTTATGAATATACAGCTATTTCGTTTAGGTGTAGATACTAACACTGTTATCAAGCAAGTGATGTACACAAAAAGTGAAGTAGGTAGGTTTTATACATGCAGATCATTGATGTTTATACAAGGTTGAATGATGATAGATTGGCGTCTAGAACCTACCTACGTCACATTTCTGTGCATCACTTGCTATCATATCTGTGTTTTGGTTAGTCAAGAGCCTCATCTTCCAAATGTCATTTCTTTTTACATCATATTTCAGACTGGACGCGAGAGACACCATGTTGTCAGACATACGTGTAAGAAAAAACTGTCTTAATTAATTAATGTCCTGGCTGTCGTTGTTCAAAACAACCTCAGCGCTACGACTTTCGTGAGTCTGTGTTAAGGTATGGAAGTGACGATCACCTTAAAGCTTAGTTCGCTTTGTAACAACGGCATCCAGGTGTATACGAGGGACGAGTGTCGATGTTAGGAGTTCTGTAATACTTTGAATTCTCACATGATATGTGCTACTTGACACTTGTGCAGAAGTATGGCCAAGCTTTGTTACAAGCTGCCTCTACATTGAAGTGGAATGCTATGTCTTCTTAGAGATGTTTAACGGGATAATCGTATACTATAGAATAACATAATAGTAAACAGGGGGCCCGGCGAACACTGTAAAGGTAACTTTTTTGATAGGCATTTAGAAGTTGGAGTACTAAGTAAGGATAAGAAGTTATAAACAACTTCTTTATTACAATTAAGAGCGACGTTTCGGTGTAGGTTCTAAGACCGTTTCATCACTTGCTTGTTAACGGTGTTAGAACCTACACGTCGCTACACCGGAACGTCGCTCTTAATAGTAATAAAGAAGTTGTTGATCCATAAATTCTTATCCTTACTATAAAAGTACGAAATGTGTAAAGTTCAGCTTCTCTAATCATTTTCGCAATATATATACACTGTACAATCACTAGATATGCATGTACTTCACGGAAGGAAAAGTCGCTACATAACTTTGAAAGATCACTTGATAACAGTCAATTATTTTGGAAGCAAGTTAAATTCATACACTTGTGTTGTACATATAAGCCCAAACATTTGGTACGTATATCTTCAAGATTTGTTTGAATGAAGTTTATGATGCTATGGAAAAAGCTGCAACCCATAATGAACTGGAGTCCTCAATTACAGAACAAGAGATTCTAAATGGTATACAATCATGAGAGAAGGGTAAATCATCAGGTTTAAATACTGGAAGTGTTCACATCAACAAGTGAAATAAGTACTTCATTCGATAGCTTGTTCAACAGGCCAGTTTCCACGTGTTTTGGAGTAAAAGTGTGATGGTTATTCAAGTTTTTGAATGGCAAAAGATATTATCGTAATAACTACAGGGACACAAGATTAAGTTGTGTTTTCGGAAAGATTTTTTCAACAGTAGCTAACTGTAGATTAAAATCTTCTTCAAAAAATAATAACAAAATATGTAACAGACAAGCAGGTTTTGACGCCCGGACATACATCAATTGATAACTTGTTCACACTGACTGCTGCTATACAAGAATATTTAAAGTAAACTTAACGTTCCCTACGTCTTTATTCAAAAATGCATTTGATTTTGTAGACAGAAAACAACGTACGCATGTCCTCGAAAAATATGGTCTACCTATTAATTTTGATTATGATTCAGTCTATGTATTACGATATAACGGTGATAACAGTAGTTTTAATGAGTGGTTTGCTTGGCCTGTCCCTGGACTGAAGCAGGGTGTATTAAGCCAAATTTATTGTTACATTTTATTAATGAGTTGGCTGCTGAAAGTCTTGATACATGTCGAAGAGAAGTATAATTTATGAAAGATTTACAAAAAAATGATTCTATTAAGGTTTGCTGATGATGATTGAGTAGATTAGCTACAAGAGCAACGGAATATTTTCGATGAAAATTGTTTAGCATGGAAACTAAATGTCAACCTGTCAATAACTACAATATAAGTGAGATTGTTAAACAGTTTTGAGTGGTATATATCATTATGATATTGTAGAAGAACAAAAGTACCTTGGACTATTGATCATGACCCCCATCTTTAAATTTAACAAGAGCAGTGTCAAATTTGGCGTCAAATGGAAACGGTTACCTTTAAATGTTCTTAATGTGGCCTGGACATGGGGAAACTTCCTCTGATAATATACTTCAAAATATGTAATTAAAAACCTAAACCTATCATTCTGTGTGAATGCGAAATAAGTGGTCATCAAATATTACATGTACAGGTACAAATACTTGCGCTGTCTCGAACCTGTGACTCAGTCCCTTTGACTTTAGAATTTTATCTCGAAGTTGGCATTTGTCACATCAACAGCTTCGAGAAACGCAAAAAAAAGCAATTCACATAGTTGCTGTAAATTCTGCCATATACAGGCTGTGGAATCGTGAATAAAGTAAAACCCAGAGATCTCTTGTCTAACTTGGTTTCGTCCACAGACGTCATGGGCATATATATAAATACCAAGACCACGTGCAACGCATTCAGCTGTTGTCGTTCCTACACGTAATACATGTACACATGTACACATGGACATTTGTCACAATTTGTATTGGTCATTTCCTGCATAATTACTTCAATTAGTCATTGCAGGCACGTCATGTGTTCTTGATTAATGGTGTATGCAGTCGTATTGCCATGGATCTACAATACTGAGTCTGTTACTTGATCTAGCTTGCTGGCTGGCTGTCCATTCCTGGCAGTCTTGAAAGTCCGGATCCATCCTTAAAAAGCCCCCGAAAGCAATACATTAAAAATAAATATTAATACGAGAATCAGTCCAACGATTAATTCACCCTATGCCAACCACAAATTATCAAGAATTAACATCTGTTGGGCATTTGCTTTTGAGCAGAACATTAACAAACTTAAAATAATCGTGAACACATTATACCTTATAATATGCACTTCGTTTATGTCCGTCAATAGCCTTTTATACAATAAACATTTGAAAATGAATTTGTATATTCACCTGATCTAAGCTCGTTGTATATAATACAGGTACTACCTGCCAAGAAGAAAAGTTCGGAGACGCCTGTAGCTACTCATGTCACTGCACTCCGCCCTGCAACCAGGCAACTGGAGTCTGTAACGGTACATGTGATCGAGGTTGGTTTGGTGGGAATGGGCAAACTTGTCAGAGAGGTGAGTTTTCTTGCCACAAGAGTGAGAGAGAGAGAGAGAGAGAGAGAGAGAGAGAGAGAGAGAGAGAGAGAGAGAGAGAGAGAGGCCTTCTACGATCTGACTTGCGTCTTATGTATTTAAGTGACCAGCTTCGACGGGATACCAATCTGAAAACACTGACAACAGCTCTCAATACAGCCGCAGCTCTCAATACAATTTTCCATCTATTTTCACATTCAAGATATTCGACAGTGACTTTATGCAAGATATTCATAGGTGCACTGACTTATTATAGATCCTGTTATTCATTGCTGCTGCCAGTTATTTGACCTATTGTGTTCCCTCTTGTGGATGTGAGCTTAATCCTCTGTGTTTCAATATAATATGTTAACTATTCAATGACCTTGTGTGGTTAATTATTGATTTCGCAATTTAGGTCTGCAAGAACCGATTTGTGGGTTAACCTTCATGTTTCAACATAGGGAATCACCTCGCAGCAACATGCTGTAACAAATCGAAAATGTTTCAAAGCCTTGCATCCCATTTTTTCATTCAAACAGATGACACCACACTCACCCCATCTGTATTTTGTATGTTAAACCTTTCAGACTCTACCACTAGTTATTCATATTTTAAAGCTACGCGGATGCTGTCACCATAACGCGACTGATCACATGATGTTTGAAATGGTTTGAAATTAGATCTTTGATATTTTAACAGAAGTGTGTCCTTTGGGATATATCCTTCAAACATTCACAATTACCACATGTCTGTAACAGTAATCCCTAGTTAATTGTGCAAATATCACTTATCTGTTGGATCCACCAAGATCAATTTCCTAGGATTTAAATAGAAACGTTTTCCTCATACAAATTACAATGTTAAAGTTAATTTATCTTCGTACTTGTTGGTACAAGAGAACGTTGCCTTCCACAAGACGGCAACTTCGTCCCCAACTGACTATGCGTCTAAAGGCTGGACTGCAGACAAAGCCGTGGATGGGAACCGGGACCAGGATATGTTCAACGGCCCCTGCTTTCACTCTCATTCTACGGCACGTAACCCTACGTGGACAGTTGACCTGGGACAGCCGTACAGGATACACGACGTCAGGATATACAACAGGGCAGGATGTATGTATCAGTTCAGTTAGCGCTGATTTTGCAGGATATGACAAAACATTTTAGTGCACCCCGATTAGGAACAACGTGTGTCTGTCACATTTCAATTGAATGTGCTCACAATGTCTTATTTTAATAAGATGATAGGGGAACTGAATCATATCATGTGCAATGTGATTAGCTCTCTGTTATTGTTCAAGAGCACATTGCACCCTGCGTCAGTAAATCATTTCTTTCATTGCATGATTTAGATCCTCAGTTGATCAGGGCTGCTGTCCTCACACTGAGTAACTCCAGCAGCTCCACACCCGGCGTCACCTGCTACACCTTCCCCTCTGGCACAGCTAAAACTATCAACAGCGTGTACGACGTGACGTGTGACGGCACAGGGAGATACTTCACCATCAAACACAGCAATAAACCACTAAATCTGTGTGAGGTGGAGATTTATGGTAAGGATAATTGCTCATTACAGTTAACTATGCCTTTTAATTAGCACATATTTGATCTATAGAAAATACTAAAGCTCGGAACTTAAAACATTAACTTCACGAGTGACATATTTTCCGTAATCACTCGTACCTGATGGATTATTCTGTAAATATTCAATGACTGGGACTTTTGTCATGTTTGCTCTCTTGAAGTGCACGTAAAGTGAAAGCATTGATTGCGATTCTCCTTCATAAAAGTGCTTAATCGGATTCCAAAATATATCTATACGTGGACTAAAGCTACCGGCACAACGGTGCAGCAGTGCGTCACAATGGCTTTCATTGGCTGATATGATGACTTGGTTTCAGCGTTTACTATACACTCTATCTTGTGATGCTTATCAGCTATACAGATACGCCAGGAAGCAACCCAGAGCAAATCTAGGAGTGTTGCTATTTATGTTAATCAAACGTTGTGGGCACTGTCAACGGATGATCTGAGAGAAACAAAGCCCTTTAATGCGATTGAAAGAAACTGAGTCAGAAGTCGGCAAAAATCCTACAGTCATCAATTATTCTTTATCGATTTTTTTTATTGATTCTTTTGAATACAAACGGAGTTTCAGTTTGAAGGCTTTGTCTTGCAAAAGGAAATCAAATATGTACCACATTACCACTTACAACTGAACATCTTGGAAGCTGATATCAGAGGTGATGTGACCTGAGGTTGAACGCCGCGTTCACGATTATTGCACTTATATAGCGACGTGCATGCACCTATACGTGCGTGCATTTGTGTGATTTTGTACTGGGCCAGACTAATGCCGATGTAGTAGTGCTAGCCCACTGAGAAACAATCCACAGTTTAACAACAGAACATAGTTATGGCTAGAAAAGTGTCACTGTTTTAATGATCTCTGTGAAGCATGAAGTAGGGGCCGCGACTGTAGACAAAGATGGCTGGGACACGTGAGTGTAGCCGTATTATAGGCGCTTAGACGAGGCTGACATAAAAACAAAGACATTCACTCAGCTGTATCGGTGAGAGACAAGGGTTACAGGGTAGACATGATGTGATGCAGATGGGGAGATTCAGTTTGTCCTGTGTGTCCTGTGTGTCCTGAGGACTCTTGGCAAGGGTGGCAGGGACATCGGTGGGGCAGGATATGCTCGCCTTTCTGCGAAAACCTGGAAAACCTTTGGAAACAAGGATATTCACTATCATCCTACTTTAAGTTTGCAGCCCAGGAGTCTTTGGCGATAGCTGCAATCAGTTCTGCCACTGCTTCCAAGCAACGTGTGACCCAGTCAGCGGTGTGTGTCCTGGAGACTGTAGACCAGGGTGGCAGGGAGAGAGATGTGATACAGGTGAAGAGATTAAGTCAGTGGTGTCTGTCCTCAAGAATGGGTGCCACCGGTAGGGCAGGATATGCTCACCTTTCTGCAAAAACCTGTAATCACCAGTAGTTCACAATGATCCATAAACACATGCTCCTGATATTGTCGAAATGTTTCAATAGAGATCTTTCATAATTATGGAAAAGCTTATGTCCCTTTTGTTTACAGTTATTGAATGTTGAGGAGCAATAGGGTACACTATTAAATGTTAGTCAAGTCAAAGATGTGTATTACATTTACGGCCATATAAATAGGAGCAACATATAAGTTTTATACATTCGTGTCTAAGAGAAATGGCATGTTTGACATATAAAGACAGTTGTAATATGACAGCATCCTTTTTTAAGAGAGACGAGAAATCAAAACAGATACAAGGTGCCTTGACAGAAAGCGTTCTGGTATAAACGTATTTCTTAGATAACAAAAAAAGACATAAATAGTAAAGTGTATTTCATTTCCTATAACTAAATGATATGATGGGCACAACCTCTTCTAAGGTTTCACTGGACATTTTTGTTTCCCATGCCTCTACAGGTGAAAAGATTGATGTTTTGGCATTCCACTGTAATCAAACGCATTAGTCGAAGTAAATAAAGTAAGACTGCCAAACCTTGAGGTCGCAGAACCAAAAATGATGAACGTCAGAGGCCGCAGATGCGATCACAAACTCGTAGGAATTGGACAAGAGGTTAAGGAGGAACAGGACAAACACTTATTATTTGTAATGAATTAGTTTTGAATTTTCTGCCCTTAGTCTCGAGACCTATGAGTTGAGGATTTTCAGTATGCCGTTGTCCATGATTGGGTTACAGACTGAAAAATAAATAGTTAATAATGAACAGAACGATTACGTTCTTGGTTGGAGTCCTACAAATAATAAGAACAACTACAAAATGGATTCTGGCTTTTCACTTGAAACCATAAATATTAATATTTTGTAATGTGTTCATGCCAACTATGTTCAAACACTATTTTAAATATGATTGAACCATTGTATAATGTGCTGATGATGGCTTTCGTTGGACATTCTTGGGAAATAGCTTGTTCATACATTTATACAATAACCATTTGGAAACAAACACCTCTAATATTATCCCGTATTATTTAATACTTGGTCTTTAAACAAGTCATCATCCTGCAAAATAACAATGACAGTTTTCCGAAGTTGACAAAGCAATATTTCATTGCAGTGAACATGACACTTGATATTTCACTGCAGTGAACATAACACTTTGAAGGAACTATTGTCATACAAGAATGACATCACCTCAGATTGTTTCCCTTTATAGTAAGTGTCTCGCCCGCACACAAACTGTTTGACTTCCTTTTAGCGTTAGCTCCCCATTGACAAGGCAAAATAATAACAGATGGTTAATGTTGCTTCATGTCGTTTAATTTGTTATTCTCTTAAAAACATTTCGTTTTAAACTGTAAATGTTTACATTAAACTCGTCAATCGAATGTTATTTGACCAGCAACGGTCTCGGAGTTTTCAAGAATATTTTGGATTTTGTATATAATCATATCTATATTACTGGTACAGAATTTTAGTTACCCCAAATATGTTCTGTTACTTTTGTTAATATGTTTATAAGATTTTGCAAACACGAAACTACTTTTTTAGTCGCAAATACAAGGGGTGGTGAACCGTCCCAGTGTGTCAGGTAGGGGTAATTAACGTTTCAAGGTTTTACATTTTTTAATGAAATACGTTGATGTCCCCATAGATAACATGAAGTATATAATAAATAGCACAGGATACGAAGATATCCCATGGCGGCGGGGGGCAAGGATATATTTTCACGAGTGGTTAGGCCAATATTTCTCCTTTCTCCGTCACTGATGAGAGAAACATGATATTTCACTCGAAATCTCCTCTAGGTAATGTCTTTATGACTTGGTGCTTGCTCCACAGTGTGCCCAAATGGAAGTTATGGGCCGAAGTGCAACAACATGTGCACTGATAGGAATTGTGCAGGAGACTCGCCATGTGATCACATAAGCGGGACATGTGTTTCTGGGTGTGAAGCTGGATGGATGGGTGACGACTGCATAGAGGGTAATTATCATAGTTTACATTTTAAAGACATTCAAACATGTCGAAAGTGTATTCCATTGTTAAGGCTACTGACTCCTCTTTCCAAGTGACTTGACATACTATTCTAGCCATAAAAAGAACATTAAACACTCTGCTATTTGTAATATGTAAATGACATAGTTACTTCTCCTTCTCAACGGTGTTATTAGCCTTCATAACATATGGTCGTTTAAATAACTTTCGATGCAAATAGTGATTTACCCAACCATTGAGGTTTGAACAAGCATTAAGACAATAAAAACAGCATTCATCAATATGTAAGCTTTACACCTACTGTAACATGTTCAAAACAATGTTTATCTCGAACGGTTTAGAAATCACGCAGAACGTTATAACCAATCATATTTTGTGTTGTAACAAATCATATTGAGCTAGAACCAGGTTTTGTATTGTATTAGCAATATTTCACCTATATCACGTTCGCTTGTTTGTAATTGAGTCTGGACTAGACTCTTACTACCCTTTCACAGTCGCCTCTTATGATAGGTATAGGTTAGAAGACTATCTCTTCAGGACACTGATATCAAGTAAATTTCCCTTAGAAATTATCCTTTTTATTTAAATTCCACATGTTACTAAAATGCATATTACTGAGACTTTGAATTTAATAATAGGCATAACAATATTTAGCAAAAGGGTTCTAATATGTTCGTGACATTGTGACTTTTTCACAGCATGTTCAAATGGAAGCTATGGACAGAACTGCAAGAACTCGTGTCAAGATAGGAAGTGTGCTGGGGACTCGTCATGTGATCACATTAGAGGGGCATGTGTTTCCGGGTGTGAGCCAGGTTGGATGGGTGAAGATTGTAGAGAAGGTTACCATCTGAATGAATATTTTAACGTTTAACTGACAATCTCTCAACGGTGGGTGTTATTAGCCCTCATAACATGTTGTCATTTAAATAACTTTCGATGCAAATAGTGATGTACCCAACCATTGAGGTTTGAACAAGCATTAAGACAATAAAAACAGCATTCATCAAAATGTAAGCTTTACAAAAGGAACCTACTATAACATGTTCAAAACAATGTTTATCTCGAGCCGTTTAGAAATCACGCAGAACGTTATAACCAATCATATTTTGTGTTGTAACAAATCATATTGAGCTAGAACCAGGTTTTGTATTGTATTAGCAATATTTCACCTACATGATGTTCGCTTCTCTGTTATTGAGTCTGGACTAGACTCTTACTATCCTTTCACAGTCACCGCTTAAGAAAAGTATAGGTTACAAGACTATATATCCCGTAAAGACACTGATGTCAAGTAAATTTCCCTTTGAAAATATCCTTTTTAGTTAAATTCCACATGTGACGAAAATGCATAGAACTGCTATTTTGAATTTGATAATAAGCATTACCAATATTTAGCATAAGGGGTCTAATGTGTTCATGACATTGTGACTTCTTCACAGCATGCTCCAATGGAAGCTATGGACAGAACTGCAAGAACTCGTGTGATGACAGGAAGTGTGCTGGAGACTCGCCCTGTGATCACATTAGAGGGACATGTGTTTCCGGGTGTGAGCCAGGTTGGATGGGTGAAGATTGTAGAGAAGGTGACCATCTGAATGAATACTTTAACGTTTTACTGACAATCTCTCAACGGTGGGTGTTATTAGCCCTCATAACATGTGGTCGTTTAAATAACTTTCGATGCAAATAGTGATGTACCCAACCATTGAGGTTTGAACAAGCATTAAGACAATAAAAACAGCATTCATCAAAATGTAAGCTATACAAAAGGAACCTACTATAACATCTTCAAAACAATGTTTATCTCGAGCCGTTTAGAAATCACGCAGAACGTTATAACCAATCATATTTTGTGTTGTAACAAATCATATTGAGCTGGAACCAGGTTTCGTATTGTATTAGCAATATTTCACCTATATGATGTTCGCTTCTCTGTTATTGAGTCTGGACTAGACTCTTACTATCCTTTCACAGTCACCGCTTAAGAAAAGTATAGGTTACAAGACTATATATCCCGTAAAGACACTGATGTAAAGGAAATTTCCCTTTGAAAATATACTTTTTATTTAAATTCAACATGTGACGAAAATGCATATAACTGATATTTTGAATTTGATAATAGGCATATACAATATTTAACAAAAGGGTTCTAACGTGTTCGTGACATTGTGACTTCTTCACAGCATGCTCAAATGGAAGCTATGGACAGAACTGCAAGAACTCGTGTAATGACAGGAAGTGTGCTGGGGACTCTTCATGTGATCACATTAGAGGGACATGTGTTTCCGGGTGTGAGCCAGGTTGGATGGGTGAAGATTGTAGAGAAGGTGACCATCTGAATGAAAATTTTAAAGTTTTACTGACAATCTCTCAACGATGGGTGTTATTAGCCCTCATAACATGTTGTCGTTTAAATAACTTTCGATGCAAATAGTGATGTACCCAACCATTGAGGTTTGAACAAGCATTAAGACAATAAAAACAGCATTCATCAAAATGTAAGCTTTACATTGCATATTACTGATATTTTGAATTTGATAATAGGCATATACAATATTTAGCAAAAGGGTTCTAATGTGTTCGTGACATGTGATCACGTACGAGGGACATGTGTTTCTGGGTGTGAGCCAAGGTGGATGGGTGAAGACTGCAGAGAAGGTGGTTATCGTTGTTTTACAGTTTGAGTTAAACATAGAAATATATATCCAACGTGTATTTCTCGACGTGTTGAGTCTCCTTTATGAGTGAGTATTGACATTGCATATTCAAATCAAGATGAACTATTACTTAAATCCATTTATATTTGCTATGTCGGTAACAACTCATATCACAACTTAAGGTTTACACGATAATGTTCCAGCCTGTGACATTGGACGTTACGGAGCTAACTGTGACAAGACTTGCGTCTCCAGACAGTGTGTGGGGAACTCTTCCTGTAACTCAACAGGGGACTGTGACACCGGGTGTGAGACAAGGTGGTCAGGAGCGGACTGCACAGGTAATGATCATATGTCACGAGGGCGCTTGATGGCTTGTGGCGGCGTATGTGGACTGCTTCTGATAGTTTTCGTTTAGTGAAATAATGGAGGATTTGGACGTTGTCCCAGTTGATGTTGTGATTAGGGCAGTTGCTGATATGGTCCGAGATGACCGATTTGTTGTCTGTTTCACCAGTGTTGACCATAATTGTTTCTTGGTGACATTTGAACACATTATATAATCATTAATCTCGACATATAAATTATATCTTGAGACAAGACGTAGCATGCTAAAAATAGGTGATTTCGTGTCCCACTTTCTCTTATTAATTAGTGTTGCTTTATATCTAAACTGTCCAAGTCGGACTAGAAACATTTGTTTTAAAATATACATTAGGTTTGAATTACATAGCATGCAGTGGAGCAAAAGCTTTTGTTGTTCAATGTATCCTTGTGTGGATATAACACCAATTGTGTGTCTCTCTCTATTTCCTGAGGTATACAGAAATAGTGTTGAGTGGTTTCGAGCATTTTATATTCCTTTCAGGATAGTTTTCCCTACACATTACATCGATATAAGCCACAGGGTCATATCACTCCTTGCCAGTGGCTTCAGAATTAAGTCCACCAAAGTACAGGCCAGAATCAGTGTTTACATTTATCAAAGATTTTATCTTAGATTTTCACATACTAACCTCGTTCTTTCTACAGAAGTTTTAACAGTACTAATGTACACCCCCGCATAATTGCCTTTTGAATAGGTAGATTTATCTTACCAATGTACAGATGTTCAGGCGACACTGACTTGTTACTACATCTAAAAGTAATGATCACATGGTAGTTTAACTGCCACATCTTTGCCATTTTATGCAACGTTTAGGGGCATTTGAATACCTGTTGTGTAACAGCTGATCAATGTCGTGTCATCTGCAAACAGAATTCCTGGCATGGGCATCGTCCCCATGGGAGACATAGTCCACAACCGGAACTGCTTAGTACATGAAGTAAATCGTTGATATAAAGAGTAAAGAGCAATGCTGATATGACACGACCCTGACCTACACCCTTTTTAACAGGGAAAACATCAGATTTGAACCCAGCAAAGCTAACACATGAGCACATAGAATTGTTAGATGGACATTGATACCAAATTTATGTTATTTATAAAAGAGACCGTGAAATCAAACACGATCGAAGGCTTTCTCGTTATCGATAAAGGCACAATAAACTGGTGATTTGTTTTCGTTAAAGAATGAAATACCTCCTAGAAGAGTGAGGGCCGCCGTTTCAGCACCAGCATGTTTCCTAAATCGAAACTGTAGGGGTGAGGAAAGGCTACTTTGTCGCTTGTCCATTTTTCTAAGCATTGAGAAGCATTCTTTCGAAATGCTTACTTAGGACTGGTGTTAATGTTATGCCCCTGTAGGATCACTTTTACTTTTTCCTCGTCCCTTATGTACTGGTAAGATTTCGCCAATATGATACACTTTGGGTATATATTCAAGTTTAATAATATCATTGAATAATACCACATCATGCTTTAATAAAGATCTTCCCGCGTAATATGTTCATTGGTGAGCTGTACATATCTTGGATAGTCTATGACATGTGTAAGGTATTGAGATGAACTATTACTTTAATCTCTTTAGATTTTCTATGTCGGGTACAACTCATATGACAAATGTAGATAGTTACCTCCTTTGTTTGTATAATTGTGTTAGTTTGTTGTTTAATGCCGCACTAAGAAATATTCCAGCTATATGACGACCGACTGTAAATCATGGTCTGGACCAGACAATATACGCGAAAAAAACCCTCTCAGAGTAGATTGTACGATTCCGACTATGTCATGAATATGTGTTTAAGAGTCACTATCAAAGAATGATGACACCATGTGTTCGCGAAAAATGTGAGCGTATCATGCCCCATCAGTGGCACCCGTCACAAACACATGAAAAGACAAATCAGTTGTTCACCTGAAAAGAGTAGGGAACATTTGATAAGTCAGAATCGGGAATTGCATCTGACCTAATTTTTTTCCTGAGGCCTTAAATGTTGTAACCTTGTTCAAACAATTTCTGACTCTGAATCATTATGCATAGATCTAAATATGAAACAGATGAAGCTGTCTCACTGGCCTTCCTTGAGTTCTAGTTCAAGTGTTTCCTCCCACATTAAGCTGACACGCCGCGATATAACTGGAATATTGTTAAAAGCGGCGTTAAACCAAACTCACTCACTCACTCACTAGTTCAAGTGCGTAAATCGGTGGAAGGGAATTGGCTATTTGACCATTATTGAACGATATCAGATCATCGATATACCTGAAGCTCAGGTTAAACTTCTTGGCCAAATTACCTTGTTTTGAAGCATGTCGCAAGCTTTGAATATTTTCATCATACAATGTTTGCATGTCTGACAAGCAGAATTTAATGTACATATATTAATATACATTTTTGTTTATTCGTGTATTTTTTTAAGTGTTATATTTGCAGTACAAATCCAAGCTTCTACATCCCCGGCTGTGCCTGTCGCGGCAGTTGGTGGTGCTGTGGCCGGCCTTGTCCTGTTGGTCCTGGTGCTGGTCCTCCTCATCATCATCAGGTCAGTTTTACCCGCCTGGAAACATTGAACTAAATTTCTCATCAAAGTGTAAATAGGATACTGGTGACCATGTGCCTATACTTGCCTTTGCATGTGTTTGTGACGGGTGCCACCTGTGGGGCAGATACGCTCAGCTTTTTCACCTGGTATCATTACTATTTGATAGTGAAAAACACATGCTTATGATATAGTCGGAATCGTATAATCGATTCTGCTTTATACAGATATTCTATTGGATATGGAAAGGGTTTTGTCGCTTTATTTAATTAATTATTTATAGGAGGAGACGAAACAGAGGGAATAAGTCTCCTGATGGACCAGTATATGATGAGACATCTCCAAGGAATAGAAAGCTCCAAGGTATGATATATTTGTTATCTAGCTTATGCGGTATGGCCATAGTGGCTTTACTTTCGTATAATATATATTAGTTATATTGCAGTTGATACTGTTCTACAGTCGTAGTAATGCTGAAGATGTGATGTCGATTGGCTAACATACAGCTTTTAAATGTGGTAGGTACGTGTCAATATTGACATGATTTGCCATGGTGTATCACATGCGTTCTTTGATATAATCTTCAGAAAGAAGTTACTATTCTGCTGGTCATGGTTTCAGGTGCTGATAACGTTTACATGAATGTTGGGTTTGAGGAGAACAAATCCGTGTCCAAGAAAGGACACACTCTGACAATGGGTGACAAAGACCACGGCCATCCAGAGCACCAGAAGGAAGCTGATTCCCAGAGTGTGGCCAACCAAGAGGAAGACGACAAGGACGCCAATGTTGACATACATCCGAAGGGGGAAGCAGTATCGGGTGTCTCAGGATGTAGCTATTACAACTTAGGCGACCTTGGTCACGTGATTCCCTTGTCTTCTCTTGAGGCAAGAGTACGTGAAATTGAAAATCATCCCCAAGAGGCATTCGAGGTAAAGTTGTGTTTTATTGAAAGACAAATGTCTGGTCTGTATTCGGAGTCCTCTTCCTCAAACCAGTGTAGAATGTTGAGAAGGACAACGATAATACAAGTGCAGGTCTTTTATTTCTCAGTAAAAATAATAAACAAATAACAAATAATCCCATGCAGGATAAATGCACAGATGTTTATAGCTGTTATGATACGAAAAGTTTTATATGTTCTTTTCAGTTGACGGTTTCGTGAACAGTGTTTTCCTCAAATTCTTTTGAGTTTTGCCAAGATCACGAATTTTGTGAACAGTATTTTGAGCAGGTTCTTTTCACTTTTGCTAAGATGACGGTGTTTGTGAATAGTTACTCTGTATGTCTTAGCGCTTGCCAGGCGGATTTACCCACAGCTACGTAGAATCTCAGAAGGCAGGGAACAAAGGGAAGAATAGATTCAAGGGATACTATCCATGTGAGTATGAGAGAACGTGCTTGCCTGTCCACTTATTAAATATAATATGGCTTCCTGCTGAACACGCAATCATCCATTTCTCCTAGATGACTACAACCGTGTGGTGTTGCACAACGACAGTGACGGCAGTAGAGGCGACTACATCAACGCCAGCTACCTAGATGTGAGTTTGGATTTGTCATTATTTAAATAGCATGGTTATGAAGTTGTTTTCTCGTTCTTCTCCTTGTTAAGGTTACATACCAGTTCCCGCAATACAGTAGTACCATGAGCCCATGTTATGTAAAAACACACAGTAAATGTCCATTGCTAATGTTTTACATTCAAGTATACAATTTAGAAGAGAACTTAGCAAAAACCATTCTAGTTATAAATAACATCGTTTTTATCATGTCTCTTTCAGGGATATAAAACTGACAATCGATACATTGCAGCACAAGGTAGTACAAATGCTTATTGATAACAGTCGAGAACACGACATTTGAATAAATACAATTGTTAACAACATTACCATTATCCAATAAATGTGTGGCAGTCTAGATGTATAGATTCAGTGTCAGGTAACGGCTTGATACGTTTTGATATCTATAGCCATACGGTGTATTGTTTAATGAAATAACAGTATCTGTGTCATTGTCAGAATGATATTTAAGTAACGATAATAACGCTTTTCCTAGGTCCCTACAAGTCGGACATTGTCGGGGATTTCTGGAGGATGATTTGGCAAGAAGGTTGCACGTCTATTGTCATGGTAACAGGGTTGGTGGAAGCCGGCAAGGTAGGACAGTATTTGTTTGAAGGAAGTGAATCACGAGTGGTTTGGGGAAAATGTTTAGAAATTATTGTGTGAATTTTGAACTTAAGTGCATGGGCGAATCTTCAATGCAATATCTCAATAGCTCACATTACTTATTTATAACCTATTTCTATACAGACAAAATTTAATCATGTAATAGAGCACATCACTGAGCACATTCCCCACATTGGTACGTTGTTTACATTGGTTTACAGGTGAAGTGCCTTCAGTATTGGCCTTCGGAGAAAGGATCAGAGAAGTTTGGTGACGTTATGGTTACTGTGGAAACAGAGACACGACTAGCCAACTACACCATCACCAAGTTGGCTGTTGAGAATGAAAAGGTGGAAGTGAATCAGTCTGTACATCCTTGGTCATTAGCATTATTTATATTTTCAAGACATTGGAATCGGATTTGGAGTAGGTAAATATAAGAGAAATAAATAAATATTAGAGTACAGATACAAAGGTAATAACGTTGAGAGATCAAAGAGAAAGTAAAATGTTTTAATATTAACTGTTTAAACTGTTAAAACGAATTAAACAACTACCCAAGTTTCGTGTAACAATCATTGAATAAATGTAACCAATGCGTGCGTACGTGCGTGCGTGCGTACGTGCGTGCTTGCGTGCGTGCGTGCATGTGTGCATGTGTGCATGTGTGTGTGCTTTACTCCGATTCGACCAGTCCTTGTTTTAGCCCCTTATTGCCGAGCGCTGGGGATCAAAACCTAAACCTATAATATTACATTGTTTAAATATCCCTTTGGGACGCTTTTGACATGTTTCAGGAAAGCGAGAGACGGGATGTCTGCCACCTTCACTTCACCAGCTGGCCAGATCATGGTGTGCCGGACACTGCTGCCCTGCTGGACTTCATGTGGAGGGTCAAGGTCATATCTGGACAACAAACAGAGCCGATCATAGTCCACTGCAGGTGAAAAAAACTACACCGATAAAAGGGGTGCCTCAGTTTTCATGTATCTATCTACTAGTATGTCTATACATCTCTACATGCAATTCACTATTTTGACTTGAAACATATGACATTTCTTGCGAAAAGGGTTTGTCCGATTTAAATACACTTGTGTGTATCCATTGCCCTGATTAATAAAACGTTACATGTGTCAATATTTAATTATGCTGAAAGCCTTTTTTGTAAAGACACTCATTCGATCTTCACTGCCCCTAAGGAGAACAGAACATATCAATTGCATTATATTGTATAGACAGAGAAGATGTGGCTGAAGCAGAATTTTACCACAGACAACGAAACACTTGTTCCTGTCTAATGATATGTAGGGCCGATTAATCTTTTACCATGATTCGTATGCTTTAGTTGATTTACTGTCTCTTGTACTCAGTGCTGGCATAGGTCGGACAGGGACGTACATCGCTATCGAGAGTCTTGTGGAACAGGCTAAGACAGAGGGCGTTGTAGACGTCGTCAGCTTCGTCTCCAACATGAGAGGGCAGAGGAAGAACATGATTCAGACAAAGGTGAGTAAATACAGTAGTGGTTTCTTATTTTCTACTAAACATTGTGACACAAGGGTCATCAGAAATTGTTTCATTGAGAACAATAAGGAATGCAAATACAAGACTAATTTAATTTTTGTACTGAAATATGAAAGTGCCAATGGCAAAAATTAACTTATTTTCTCTGTGCATCTGTCGTCAAATACGATTTTGTAAACACGAAACTGCTCTTTTAGTCGCGAATACAATGCGTGGTGAACCGTCCCTGTGTGTTAGATAGGAAGAATTTACGTTTTTTGGTTTACATTAGTAATGAAATAATTTAATTTTCCGTTGGATTACGACAAAAAGTATGTAATGAATAGGATATTCCATGTGTCTCGTGAAATATCCTCTATTTATTATTGTTATGTACATGTACGTGTTTCTTGGGTTATTTTATGTATTACAATTGCTGCAAAACCATAATATCTATTTGAAAGAATCGTATATTATATCATCGTGATGTAACTGAAACACATTTCAAAGCAGCGTTACGCCCATTTGTCTCATTTAGGTATTGACTGTAATTATTATTCAAACACCTCTACACCCCCAAGGAGCAGTACCTGTTCGTGTATCAGGCGGTGGCGAGGGCGGTTGCAGAGGGTGACACGTCACTGGATTGTGACGTCATCAGAGAAATGAACCTGGATGACGTGTCAGACTTTGCTATGGGAAATAGGACTGTTCAACAACATATCAAGGCAGGGGTTGAAATTTACATCAGTAATGTTAATCATTCTCGATCATGATCGCTTTGGAAAGAGATGTTGCAATAACAAATAACATATCATACATTCATTAGAAACGCCAAATAACGGATCAAGTTACTATTACTACATGTTAAAACCTATTCATTCTTTTGCAGGTCTTTCAAAGTGAATTTCAAGGTATGCATACTTCCATAACAGTATAGCTAATTATATCATTTCATGTCGTGACATGTTAAATGTCATGATAAATGTTATCAATCTAATTGAAAGGTGAGTGAGTGGGTTAAGATTTAACGTCACATCGGCAATATTTTAGCCATATAGTGACGAGATCACTATATAAATCAATAATAAAGACATTTTGACAATATTAAAACCTGTCAACAAAGAACAGTAAAACAAACTAGACTATCACAGACATGAATATAAAAATAGCATGGAGCTATAGAAAGATGTAACGATACACAATACATGATAAAAACAGGCTATTGATCGCCAACCACTGAAGGTAGATCACCACACTTGGGACCATAGGGACTTACAGTACTTTTGCTACCTGCATGGATCCCAGCAGGATTTACACCATCCCTTCAGCCCCTGGCGATTGTATGCAAGTTTAGCCTTCAATATAATGATGGTTGTCAATATGGATGACGTTTTGAAATATTCACCCCTTGTGGTGGAAAAACCAATACAGTCAAGCAGGACATGCCTGACTGTGATTCTCTCATCACAAGGGATTCAAAATGGAGGATCCCCAGCTTTCAATAAGTATTCATTTGTATACCTGCTATGGCCAATACGACATCGTCTTATTATGACCTCTTCAAACTTGACTGACAACCCAATCTAATTATATAATTGATAAGAATTGATGACAAAATGTTCAATAAGTAACAAAAATGTATCTGATATTTTCGGCAAAGCCCTTTCTACTATACACTGATACATAATAGAAAGCTCTGTTTGTAGTTTTCCTTCTTCAGTATGTTTTCGAGGTAGTTTGTTAAAAGACATTCATGACCACCACCTTGTCATACCAGTTTAAAGGCTATCGTGACCTACTTTAAAAGTAAACATACATGTTTAAGTTTCACAACAGTTATTGACATAATATGCAGCGCCTTCATGTTTCACTGATGTAATTGGTCAAGGTTCTTAGTTTAAAACGTGGCGTCTTGAACCTAGCATCACCCTTAGGGTCATACAGAGTGTTCTCCAACGGACGAACTTGCGACATTGCTAACATTAAGAAAAGTGTTTTAATAAATGGAAAAAAAACTTATGATGATGGGTGTGAGGTGTGAGGTTTGTCAGCACCAAAGCCGTGCTCGAGGGTCTCATCAAAGTGTTAAATGTCAAAGACCTGCATCACTTCGGGCTTTCTTCTCCCACCAAGCTGTTACACCGTGATATAACTGGAATCCTCTTAGTTTACATGTGATTCGCTTCCAGACCAACCCGACGATTCACCCTTCAAGACTGTACCAGTAAGTACATGTACTCCCCTATATGGCAGACTTATTGTCAACACACCTGTCGTTGGCGTGCCCTGACGTAAACCATATCTCATCCAAAAGTTGTTCTTAGTTTTTCACAGAATATATTTTAAACAACGAAAACGGAGAATAATATATTGTATCTACGTTAATTACCATATATTTTTCATCTCCTATATACTCTTCAAATGAAATCTTATTTCCGCTTCAAATTCATTAATTTTCTTTTATATTCTCCAGTCATATACATCGCGGAATGGTTTCGTTATCATGACGTCACTTCCGAACAAAGAGGAAGTGTGGGAGACACTTTACAATAGTGACTGCCGAAGTATATTCACGTACCCTACACATGATCAGGTTGGTTAAAATTAGATACACATGTAACCGGTGCATGTGTTTTTCATATTATAAGCTATCAAATGTTCAAGCATTACTGCTTTTAGTTTGAGGAGGGAGAAGGGCATGTAGGAATTAAATGCATCCAATTGTTTTTTTGTATAGCGTATGAGGGTAACTATATTTCACTGTAAGATAAAGCCAACGGATAAATGTGGTTTCCTTTGGGGTTTTTCGGGTACATCTGCAAATATAAAAGATGGGATAGAGGCATCTACTACCTTCAGAATTGAATAACAAACATGGCTTCGCCCTTGTCTATTGCTCATCGAGTCGTTATTGATCATCGGAATTCTAAACACATTACTTGATAAGTGTTACCATGTTAAAAATACAAGTCTAAGATACCGAACACCAGTGTCTGACAAGGGCGTAGCGAAGGTCTCGGAGTTTAAAGAACTTTGTACACATTGATTAATGAATTTTCACATATTTGCTTGCAGTGATTTCCAGAATTAAAACAGTGGGAGTTGCCTAAAATAGTGTACCTTGTTCCATGTTGTCGTTATATAAGCCATCTCACTGCATTTGTTAACTTTATCACAAACCGGGCAGACGGGACATTGCATTAATTAGAGTAGCTTCTCGTTGGCAAAGGGCAATAAAATTACCGGGGGCATGAATGACATTAAAAAATAATAGTAGCTACGCCACTGTCTAAAGCACTTGGATTTTGGAAGTTTCAGTTGGAACTATATTAACTGTTGTCATTATACGAGTGACTTATCATTGATCGACCTTGTGTCGTAATATATCCATACGTATATTCCCGCAAAACTGGCTTTTGTTTAAGGACTGCCTGTGAGTGCCGAAAAAAAATTCAGGATATTAATTTAAGAATGACATTGTATGATAAAAAGGTTAGGACGCGTGGCATTATCTTATGTTAGGAATAAACTCGCCACATGATACAGCACACCCGCGTGATCACCTCTATTTACTCTATAACCATGACATAACAGTGTCGCAGGGTACATCGTATCTAGAAACAAAATAGACCAACTCATAAATGATTCTCTTTCAGTGTTATCTACCAACATCTGAAACTTCAGTGACAACCATGAGGTTCGAAGTGACTGTTTGCAGATCTACCCCATTGTCTGACAACATCTTACTAAACACGGTTGAAGTCAAATTAAAGGTACGCGTTCTTAACAAAATAAATAATCCAGTTCTGTTTTAAACCTTGGTATTTAATTGGTAACTAACCTGGGTCATTTAATCTAAACACTGATGTCCCTATTACATGGATGTTTTACTTTACTGGCTTAATTCATTACTTGTTATTATAAAAGAATATTCTCGGGTAACCTGCTTCTTACGTCATCTTAGCTGTGTCAAAAATAGATTAGGTAAGAACTAACAAGCTTTCTTCAAGCAATCCCATTCAACATTTATTGTTTCAGGATAGTGGCGAGGTCACTGTTATACAACACTACCACAACACCGGAAGTGCACGTGACGCGGAACTTGATTTGCTTATTGATAGCTTTCTGACATGGACCAATGATCCGGAACGAGTCTGCAGCATGATCATTTCTGAGTAAGTATATACGGAACCATCTAAACACTTGAACACCTCAGGGACATGCCCTTTCTGCAACAAAACAACCACACTGTCACCGAATACATCACATCTCTTGAGCATGACTGTGTGTATTTCACCGCCTCCGTGGTCTTGTGGTAGAGCGTCCGCCCGGAGAGCGGAAGGTCCGGGGTTCGATCCCGGGCCGCGTCATACAAAAAGACGTTAAAAGATTGTACTTGTTGTTACCCTGTCTGGCGCTCGGCATTAAGGGGCTAAAACAAGGACTGGTCGGCTCGGAGTCAGTATACTGTGTCTGAGTGGGGTATTCATGTTAAACTGCGGCATGGTATCTCAGTGAGCTAGCACTATAAATCGGCATCAGTCCGGACTAGTACAAGCAGCCACACACACACATACACGTGCTTGCACGCCGCTATATAAGTGCAATAATCTTGGACGCGACGTTAAACCCAATTTCACCTCACCTCACCTGTGTGTATTTCAGCTGTATGAGCGAGTGTCGACTCCTGGTGCTTCTTGTGAACATCGCCAGCAGACTGCAGGACGACGGTAGAGTGGACGTCATCAACAACATGCGACAACTTTACACACGTCTGGGAGGTCCACCATTCACAGAGGTAGTCGCAGAGATCTTTGCTGATTACAGACAGTGTAGCCTGCGTGTAGCTTGACTTAGCCATGTCATTCATGTCATTACTCCGATCCCCGATCGTGTCAAACCCGATGGGGTTTGATGTTAAAGGGCTAAAACAAAGACTGGCCGGCTGGAAAAGTCAGTTTTCTGTGACTGAGTTGAGTAGTCATGATACACTGCCGCGTGGTATCTTCGTGCCATGAGCTAGCACTATAAAACGCCTATTAGTCTGGACTAGTACAAGCAGACACACACGCAAACACACATTGGTAAATGCCCGTCGATATATAAGTACAATAATCTTAAACACGACGTTAAATCCCATTGCACCTGACATCATGTCATTGCAGTTTAACGATTATCTATTTTATCATGGATATGGAATCATTATTTAGAATATATTGGCACCCTCTGTTTACCATGTTCTCCACTAACAGCGTCTGAACACAGCCTGTGTCATAATATCATGTAACCTAATATTCCAGGCTGACGTGAGACTATGTCTGGAGTTTACTCAGCGGCGACTGGAGACACGTGGAGTTTACGCCAACATGTGACAACAAGAACCGAATCTTCCATGGAAGCGACTGTATGAAACAGTGGCCTAAAGGAAACGTTCAATATTATAGAGAAACAATGACATATCATCACAGCTTACCAATATTCTGTAAGACTGCAACTTTAAGGACATCATACCGTCAAAAATGAAACATACCGGAAGCTCCATCCTTGAATTCCATTTTATTAGGGAAAATAATTTTCATAGTTTTAATTTTGTTACATTCACAATATTTTTATGAACTTGATATTTTGCGTTGTATTATTCATGACCTCTTGTTGCAAGGCAAAACCTGGTTTTCTGGTTGCACTCGTAGCAAATTATTTTTTATGAAATCCATATGCACATCTTTTTTATTTTCTCTTTCCGATTTGTATGTGATATATTGCTGGTAAAGCGAATGAGATTTCTAGATGCACATGGACGTTATTTCTCTATTATATATTATATATATTATGAAAGTCGCAAAGTATAAAAAAAAACAATTTGATATCTTTGTAAAAACGCAAAAAGAGTGTGCACGGTTTTTTTAGAATTTGATATTTATTGCATAGAGATTGATTTGATTTAACGAAATTACAGAAATATGGACAGGTTCTTTCAAATGTTTTGATTCGATTCTTGTGAAGACAGATACTGAGTATGCATTTACTTTGGGTTTTACTAGCAAGGTAACTTGGCAGAAGAAAGCTATTCTAAAAGTTTTAAAAATTTAAACTAGCTGCAATTTAGCTAGCAAATATATTTTGATTGGACAAGCGATGTCATTCCAGAGATTTATTGTGAAATGTCTACAAATTAACACTAAGGCTGGGCTGGTGTGTCAGCTAAAACAATTATCAACCATACGTTATTCTGTGTAACTCAGAATCATAACTCCTCTTGCGAGTAGATCTCCAGCTGTCAGCCTCAAATAAATAAGGCCTCAAATAAAATGTGGATTTTATATGATCACGCAGTTATCATTTCATATACTAAGAATAAGTTTACCTCAAATACTTGCGTGGCTTTTCTTTTCTTTTTAGGTTTCATTTTCGTTCCATCTTCTATAAGTGAATGGGCGTGAGTTGTAAGTTACTGAAGACATAATTTCATCTGATATTGCTACCGGGGCGTTTTCCATGAACAGCATTACTTGGCATATTCAACGTTTTCATGAGGCACTTTGCATTTCGACACTTAAAATATCACTTACGATGAGTAAGAAAAGGAACGTCTTCACATTATGGATGGAATGCTGACAAAACACGGATCATAATCACAACGAATCTGTGATTCAAATTCGCGATCAACGGATCCTGGTGCGACTAGGGTCTCGTTCATCCGATTCTGACGCCATGGGCGACTTGGCAACCCTTTGCTCTTGAAGCAGGAATATAAGAATGAATTACCCAAACGTTTGTATTTATTTTGCCACTGACCCAGAATAGGTATGAAATATAAGCGGCCATTATTATTTATGTGAACTGTATCTGCGAAGTGAAAGTAAAGGAAATAGCAATGTTTGTATACATTATGTTTGCAAACTACGATGATGTACGAATAATCACCACCTCCACCACCACATATTTCGTAACTTCAAAATGTATTTTTGAAACAGAAATCAACCACTTATTCAAATCCTAGTTATATCCATTGTCTGCTGAATCAGTATTCCCTGTCCCCAACATTTAACCCAGTGATTTGTTTGTGAGAGTTTTGGTATCTTTACCGGCAATAACATTCTCTTCAAAGTTAAGATTGTGTTTGTTTGCTTGTTGTTTAACGCCGCACTCAGCAATATTCCAGCTATATGACGGTGGCCAAAGTTAAGAGGCCGCCATGGTCGACCTAACGCCTTTTTCGTTGTTTATGACATGGTCCCGACATGGCTGGGTATGCATCATGTTCTGCTTCATTATTATGATATCAATATATAATCCACATCACTATTCATGCTATATATTCAATCAAGTATAGTTACTTCCCTTGAATGAAGTTTTATCTTTACAACCCTTGAAGGAAAAGAAATTCAAACTGATGTTTTTAATAATCGCCCAGTTCGGGCTTGTTTTAGCCCCTTGATGCCGAGCGCCAGGCAGGGTGACAACAAGTACCATCTTACAACGTCTTTTGACATAACGCGGCCGGAGATCGAACACCAAACCTTCTACTCAAATGGGGTCGGTGGGGTAGCCTAGAGGTTAAAGCGTTCGCTCGTCACGATGAAGGCCCGGGAGTACATGGGTACAATGTGTGAAGCCCATTTCTGGTGTCCCCCGCCGTGATATTGTTGGAATATTGCTAAAAGCGGCATAAAGGAAAATAGAGGAAAAACTAGATAAAACTCAGATAATATTATGAACTTATAACAATTTGGTATTATTGTATAACTATTATTACATTGGTTGATAATTCAGTAGAATATTGTGATTAAATGTGTCACAGGAGGATAAAGGCTTTTTCATATGAAGTGGGTGATACCGTTCCTATTGTGTCTCGTTCAAATTATAGCCAGGAGTTGTATCGCTATTAGTCTTGCTGCATGGTTTATTTAAAAATCAAAATCGATAAAGCATTATGTCATCAATATAAGAGAAAGAGAGAGAGAGAGAGAGAGAGTATGGCTTTATTGTTTTATTCCACGGTTGTTTTCTTTGTTCACAATTTGATGCAACGTGATAGCCAACATGCCCCTGTAAAGTCCTGGTTGCAGAGATGTAAACAGCAGTACTGCTTGGTTGGTCAAATAGTTATTCTGCAGTGAGTTTGTTGGTAGGGTATTCCTTATTTCGGTTATGTGTTAGCAAATTTGGGATTATTAAACATCCAGCCTCAACAGTATCATCCTCGTAAAATTCCAAATATGAATCTTGGTGTCTGCAGCCAGGATTAGAAACTGTCATGGAAAAGTTTCATTCACATCTAAGTTTTTACCTTCTGCTTATCAACACAAAAGGTTAACGACACAGAATCATCAGTCCACCAAAACAGATACAATAAGTCGGAAAAAAGAAAATAGTGACCAAAAATATATGATAACACCTGTTCACTTTGTACACATGCATTATAAAGCAATGAGAATCACATGATGAGTAGATTAGCTAAGATGACTTTATTTGTGTGAGTTGAGGCGTTTGTATTTCTTTATATACATATTATGTCACATATGATAATTTCATATCCATCGTTTTTTCACTGATAAAATATACTAAACTTTGCTAACTGTATAATAACAAAGTGTGGGAGAAACATAAGTGAAGGTATACACATATATGTAATAATGTTCATATATATGCATACATATATTCTTACACGGGTCAGGATTAAAGTACAGTGTTCGATCAACTTTACCTGGTGATAGAACGTAAAAGCTTTCATCTATATTCATTTCCATATGATGTATGTTTACCTTATACAATAACATAAGCACAAATACATACGAAATCACACGATTTGATAATTATACTTTTCTTAAAATAGATCAGGTTTTCAATCGTATCATACACATTTTCTTTCAAATATTGTGCATACGGTATGTTGATGTGTTGATAACACTTCACTGGAGGAAGCTATTATAAGGGGCGTGTCTGGTTGTGGTTGATCGCATGCTCCATTGCCCAATGAACAATGGTCTGTTATTGCAGGTTTTTATGTGTTAACATGTTTTCAGGGTTCACACTTCCTCTTATATCTTTGTCCCCAGTGGGGTGGCTACCTTTTATACTAAATAAACCAATGAAAAAATCATTTGTTCTGGTTTGATTCATACCTAAACCGTGAGACTTACCTCACTGTTTTACTTTCCTTTGTCAACAGGTATTTAATAAGTATTAAACTTGTTCTGATCGCGATATGGCTGCAATATTGCCGATGCGATGTAAAGTTTCAACTCACTCACTCACTCTTATATCTTAGTTGGCTGGCTCTGCCATGTTGATGTACCCATGCTTATCTTGCAATTCACTTAGTAGTCTGTCTCAACTAATATAATCTTTCAAGTAAAATGATGAATTTCCTCAACATGTGTACACGTAAAGTGGCCATGTTCTTCACGGCCTTGCACATGTGCGTCAACTCATAGATTAAAGTTTGTTTATCAAACAGGATGTTGTGGCCACAGAATATGACACATGGGACACCTTACCGAACAATACGAACAATATGCAATCAACATTGATTCACGTAAATTTAAGCTTCATGCTTGTTATTGTTGTTTATTCAGATGACACTTGGTTCTTGAGCTTCTAGACCATAATAGACCATACTACGGATGATAACTATGACAACCGACAGAACTGTATATTCACATGTGTAAGACAGTATGGACATTGCCTCAGTGGAGATACTGTATACTCCATATTAAATTTCCAATACCTGTTAGTTTTTGTTTACCAAACATCCCCTGTTGCCCTTCCATATCTAGTTATAAAAACTGGTTATTCTGTCTGACCAATTACTAACATAACACAAATAGCGTGTGCATAGATTGATGAAGAGTGATGAGAGTGTGTTCGTCTGATTTCTATGACCAATGCAACACAGGGGGAATATCTCATTTCATGATTCTAACCCTAATTCCTAATCTGACACTCAGGGAGTTGTGTGTGTCTGATTCATATACCAAATATGCCATGGAGGGCGTGTGTATGCATTTTCCATGACTTATAGAACAAAATAAATCACTGATACATATAAGTACATAGGACAGATTGAGTGTATTCACACAAATAAAAACATAGACAAATAAATAATTACTCGTGGCTCTGAGCATTCACAATATATAACCTTTGCATAAACATCTCCGAGTGCAGGTGCTTAGACTTGTCTAAATCTATGCTAACACAAATAATCATGTACCTACATTTAGTTCATCAGCGAGTATTCGCTGAACCATCGTTGTAAGTAAAGTAAGCGTCCAACAGGATATATGTCTAATGGTCACACATTTTGATAACGCAGGTCGTAGTACGTGCACCATAGCCGTTAACTAAACTTGCTGTTACAGATAAAGGTTTGTGTCTGCCTTATGAATTGTCAAATTGTCTCCTTTACCTGTCAATTTGAAAAGCATGGTGCCTTTTGCATTACCTCTGTCTGTTAAAGAGTTCCATTTCCATTTTGACATTTATTGTACACAACAGACGTAATTCAAAAGTGAAATCTAGTTTTAAGTTTCAATAAAATCACTGATTGCTCTGGTGTCACCAGAGTTTTGTTTACATGCACTTGTGGCATAACTGCTGTGCGGCGTCAGACAAAATAAGCTACCTTTTTTATTCAAGTTGTGTTTAGCAATTTCGCGAGCACCTGTGTCATGATTGATTTTCAGTGGTCCATTCATATTGTTTTCGCCATAATTATTTTCCTTTTACACCCAATGAATTCTGTTTCGTTGGATAATCGAAACTCGTTATTCTCTGGCGATGACGTTTCATATTAATTTTACATAGCACCGTTAAACCAAATGCAAACGAAAAGGTCTCAACATATCCTCATACGTCGCAAAGGTAAGGGAGATTGAGCCCGGTGATATCACAAGGGTTGAATTGCAGTGTGTTAATATGCATACATGGATTATGTATGTGACACGGGGTATGCTGCTTTGCATTTATAACCTTAAATAGCATGTGAACATACACAATTGAAGCAACTTTAAAGTGACAATTTGGAGTCCTCGGTGCTCAATAAGTGTTGTAAAAAGCAATTATAAATAGAATTCGGTGCATTGTATGTCCTGGCTGATTATCCGTCACCGTACCCCTGTTATTCTTCTCTCAAAAAACGTTTTTATTTGACCAAGATTCTACCACGCATAAGCTGTGCTGTTTTGTGAGTGTCGTGGTCTGTCTCTCCTTAAACGTATAATTAAATGTACAGAGTACAATATAGTGTTGCTTAATGTATTCAATTCTAACGTCAATATAGCAGTTATTCACAATCTAATTTTAGACATTTACTCTCCCACTATTGCATATTTTTAATGTAATGATAATGAAGTATTCTGAATCCATACCTATAATAGTTCCATTTGTTGCTTTGTTATTTTTTGAACCAACTTGATTGAATTTAATGGCATAACAAAACGTATCTTTGTACTGATGATCCAAACTATGTGGTGTCTCACGTTATCCCACTTTCAATATGTCCCTGTTTTGACCTTTAAGCATTACCCTTAACTACATTAGGGAGGAACATAAAGTCCCGTCAGCACCACATTATTGGATTTAACCAAAGTGGTAAAAGTCTAAGACCTGCACCATTTGGGGCTTTCTACCCACATCAAGCTGACACCCTGATTTATGTGAAATACCGTGCAAGCGGCGTTGACAAAACTCACTCATTCTTCAGAATAACATTGCAAACAACATTTATACTCATCATACAAAGGAAACACATTCTTCCGTCAACGCAGGCGCCCACCATAAAATACCGTCATTGTGGCATGCCCATACACTTGTGCACTATGTCCACGTTATGTATAAACATGCCCTTGAAGCTACAAAAATACATGCATTTTAGATATTTACATTGTATGAAAGCAGACACCGCTTATAGACTACAATGTGTATTTTAAAGGTGAGCAGCATAACATTTATACGTGTAGTAATAGGTGGCCCCATCTGCACGGCCAAGCGGAATCAACTTCCTGGTTGTCACACGTGGTGGGTGTGTGGATACTGACTGATCAGTGTTTCCTGCGTGTTGGATACAGCTTATAGCAGGTAGGGTTTCAGTCATTGTATGTTGCTTTTAAGTTGTTTCTAGTCTTTATTTCACCAAGGACATGATACGTTCGCATTTACCTTCTTGTAACACTGTTGCCACCCAAGGTTAGTTTCAGTCACGATAATTGTCATCACCAATGAGCAGGCTTGGCCCAGTTAGCTTTACGTTTCAAATCATTTGTCTGCTGGAGCGCAAAGGGATGAAACGATACTTTTCTTCGATAAAGTCACCTTGAAAAGCACAAATTCATGTGTCAATGAATGTCAATGGTACACATCCCTATGTCACACAGAGTTGCTGTTCGATTGGTATCACTAAACATACAGTAATGTAAGTAAGTGCAGCAATGGAACATTGCAATATAACTGTCTCAGAACATATGGAACTCATTTATAAGTTTATTGTTTTAGAAGACTATTAATGGTATCCAAGTATAAAAGCGAACACTACAGTATGCATATAACATGCAACTAAACATTGTTCGTAATCGCTCTTTCTGTAGCAGTTGGCAGCTGATGTATGGGTATGACTATCCTTTGGCAATGCACAATGAGTAAGTTGTAACTTACAACCATCAGTAGAGGTACACCTTAGAATGCCACAGGGAAGTAGATGTGTTTTCTTCCATATCCAGTGAGACTTAATCACATTATGTTGTAATATACACCCTTTCATTGCGAGTTTTAAACATACTCGTACCTCAATCTGATAACGAACTCAAATAGCCAAGTCTTTATAATGTATAATCATGACATTATTACTTTTACCTAACACTAGAAGGAAGTTGTGCGTGTTTTCCTGATAACTTGTATACCCATGTGTGTACTGCAGCTTGATCATGAACATGTCCTATTATGTTGATGAAACCACCCGAATTCACACTTCAGTTGTTCCACTCGCTCAAATACACACTATACAGTCACTTTGAATCATGTTACGTATGTATGCTTTTCACCTATCCACACTATTAAGGAAGTATGACTGTCATAGAAATTAAGTATGTAACATCTGCTGCAAACTCTCCATTTAGTCGACAGCCGCCAATGACTCCATACAACTACTATAATACAAAAGTCGTGTGTGTCGGTCTCATCGATTATATTATTATGGTTTGTCTGACTCATTTGTACCATAACACAGTGAGGGAGAGTGTCTGATCCCTACACACAAGACACTTGTTGTGCGTGTCTCTTTCATGCGACTAATGTAAACCAGTTTTCAGTTCATAACCTTATGAGCGTAGACTTTTCTCACTTTATGAAAAGTCTCCACATAAGCGGGGATCGTAAATGCGCCACCCATCAATAACATACCATCTGAAAATGTTACTTGGTCACAAACGTGTCCATGTTATGAATTTTAATACGCTTCCATTTATGAAATATTTCCTTGACGAATTGACCGAAATGAGACGTTTGTTTAAATATGAAGTCTGAGCCTTATGTATGTTTTTGTGATCAAGGACAAAGACAGACATGCATTTCAGATGTTTACATGTTTATTATAGGGTGTGCAGTACTAGATGTACCCGTGTTGCAATAGGTAACCCGGTTTTGCAGTCAAGGGGAACAACTTTCTGGTTGTCCAACATGGGTGTGTGGCGACCGACTGTCAGTGTGGTGTTGTCAGCCTGTTTGTTGCAACTTGTAGCAGGTAAGTTGTAGTAAACATCTTGTTTTTTGTCGACTGGCTGACCGGTCACGTATTGCTTTGACCAATGGCCAGTCCGTACAACGAGAGTACAAGTTGTTTTGATCCGTTCTGGACCCTGGGTCGTGTTAAGGTCCGGACTAGTACAAGCAGCCAGAAACACACGTGCATGCGCGATGATATGTAAATGAATTAACCTTGAACGGAACGTTAAATCCTACTTCATCTCCATAACTAAAAAGCTGATTTTCTAATCCTTCTCGGAGCAGTCACACGCTGTCATTCTTCACAAAATTTCCACAGGTTACCAATTTTCCCCAAGTGTGATATTTCCGTCGTGTATGAGATGTAAACTATCGATACAGGCAGTGGTGATGTGTCATATAATTATATATCCCAGGTTAGTAACATTGAAACAAATAATGACATTTGAATCTGTTTGGAATGACTTCCAAATCGTCAACGTTCCTTGTATGTCGAGCAATATTCTATTAACTCTAGCCTTTGGTGCCTACATTTTCACAACTTTTGAGGTAAATCGAGCACGTTCTTTCCACGAAGGTTTCAAAGAGTGCCATGCGACACTTGCTCCAAGGTTGTTTGATAAAAGTTACAACATTCAACTCCAAGTAAAGATTTCATTTATAAACGCATGCTCGTGATAAGGTACAGTCAACTCTGAAAGAATATGCAAGGGGCTTTGTCACTTTTATTTGCATATCATTTGAAATTAAGAGGTCATGTTATTGAACACACCCCGATAGGCAGTCAGCGTGACACAGATTTGCTGCTTTGTTCGGCACAATTATAGATGCATTAATGTGACTAAGTACATCAATGAAAGCAACGATTTCAACAGTGCTAAATTAACTTCTTTTCAGAAAAGAATGAATTGCAAAATACAGACCAACCTGTTGATTTTATAGAAATAAGTAACCCATATGACCATAAACCATCATATGAAATCGTAAGAAGAAAACGTAGTAAAAAGGAGTTATATTTTCACAAAATGTTTTGTTGATTAGTGATTACAGGTAACAGAAATATATGGAAGGTATGAAAGTACCAAAATAAATTTGGGCACCAAGTAATTATAACTGTAACGTGTAATCAGAATGATTGGAATTGGTGACATTTTCATTTGAAGTGCATGTGGAAAAGTGATTGAGTGAGGGGAAAATTTTTGATAAGGATTTTAAGAAGTGCAATTTCATTTCTTTTGAGTGAGTTTGTTGGGGGAAAAGAAATTGATCACAGAAAAAGAGTTCAGAATATTTTCATTGTGTGTTTTAAGAAATCAGTGCATGGAACGAATATGTACGTTGCACTGATAGGAAGAATGTGAAATGGAAAGTTAATATGCAACGTTCTGTTTGACAGTAAATGTGACGTGTGTCCCAAAGGACTAAGGCGTGTTGAGCAGTATTACTGAACATTGTGACTAGTATTGTGTTGCATGAGGTATTAAGTACTTTTGCACCAAGACATTTACAATGTAAATACACATGTACAAATACAGTACTCATTTTTGCATACTGACCTAGTATCACGCATATGATCATGAAAAAAACAAGATATAATGACAAAAACGGTCAAAAATATTTTATTGGGGCTTGCGCTCTTATCCAATACTTTATTGGAAGCCTGGCATTTATTCTTGCTGAATAATATGTTGCAATAGCATGCAGGGAGTAAAGTACTGAGTAACAGGACGGACATGAATTTCTCCCTGGCATGGTTCTCCCTGCCTGCCTGAATAACACACGCAGCATTGCAAAATCAGTGTGCAATAGAACTATTCGGGTAAGGGAGGTAAGCACCCATTCCCCAAATCCGCGGCAGCTTACCGCTTTAAGAAGACACCTGTACTATGTGCAAAGATGCAAGGGGAGTTCGTGATAAAGCTATAGGCCTCTATCTAATTGACATAGTCGGTCGTGTGTCATTGCGATTTCTATACACATTGAACCTGTCAACTGAAACAGTATGTTTGCGATGATGTGTGACGTAGTCATGAATCCTTACAATGTTTCTATGGGACCAACGACGACGGCTCTCAGTAATAAATCCATAAAACTGTGTGAAGTGTGATGCGTCCATGGTCACATCATGAAGAGTATGGAACGTCATGTAGACGAGTGAAATAATCTCTATTCTTCAAATCAAGATCCGTTACAGTAAAAAACATTGTAGGATGTGAGTAATTACATCAAACATTTTGTACTGAACTATTTTCTGTCAATACGAAACTTTATTTCACCTGTGTGGCGGTCGGGTAGCTTAGTGGTTAAAGCTTTCGCTCGTCACGCCGAAGACCCTGGTTCGATTCCCGACCATGGGTACAATGTGTGAAGCCCATTTCTGGTGTCCCCCCCCCCCCCCCCCCCCCCCTGTGATATTGCTGGAATGTTGCTAAAAGCGTCATACAACCATACTCACTCACTCACTTATTTCACCTGTGTTACGAAGAATAGTTTAACTAAGTGCATACGGGATATAATTCAGGAAGTTCCGGATTGAAGCTGCTCATCTGCTGTGTGTACTGTATTCAACTTCATTTCTGACTGGCGTGTGTCATTCCAGAATATAACATATTTTTTTCACTGTGTTCAGCTTGTGCATGACCATCAAAATCAGTGATAGGATATCAGTCAAACCATAGTAGTAAACCTCGGGCTGATGCAGCGGCTAAGGTGGCAGCATTAAAGGCGAAGATACAGTATGTTGGTATTGAGAGAAAAAACAAGATCAGAATCGGAAAGAGAAAAATCTGGCAATTGCAGAAGCTAGATTGCATGTCCTTACTCAAGTTGATGTAGAAGATACTGTTAGATGGGCAGGGATAACACAGAACACATTTCACTTGTTGATCAACATGTTTCTAAGGCCCGGGATGCGATGGATCATGTTCAAAACTCTGATGAATATATTTGTAAACAACTGAATCACACACATGTTGTTAACTCTTCACCTCAGTTGAACACTCCTATAGTTCAGGCATCAGGCAAAAATCTTGATACTGAAAATTGAAGACCTACCTACCCCAGGTCTACTTGCTTACTTGTAAAGTTAGGTGAGTGGCTCAGAATAGTGGGATGTGAAGTGCACTATGCAAGCTTGCTGATTTTCGAAATAATATAACGTACTTAGGGATACAGATTAAGGACAAACACCAGAATGCCTATATCAAGGACAAACTTCGGGCAGAGTACAAATGTAGACTAAATCTGGAGTTCAGAGCTGAACGCATGCAATAAAGTTAAAGTCACAAATTCTTATGCTGTATCCGTCCTTTCATGTTGTTTTTGTGTTGGTGATTGGACGAAACAAGAAATTCAGGTTATTGACACCCTCACACGAAGAATCATGTCAGACAATACATCCAACCAACCTCACTCTTCCCAGTAGTTTTAATGAGTGGTTTGCAGGGTGTATTAAGCCAAATTTATTGTTACTTTTTATTAATGAGTTGGCTGCTGAAAGTCTTGATACATGTCGAAGAGAAGTATAACTTTTGAATGATTTACAAAAAATGTTTCTGGTGATGATATTTTTATTTCTGATAGAGTAGATTAGCTGCAAGAGCATCGGAATATTTTCGATGATAATTGTTTAGCATGGAAACTAAATTTCAACATGTCAAAAACTTAAATATAAGTGAGATTGTTAAACAGTTTTGAGTGGTATATTCATTATGATATTGTAGAAGAACAAAAGTACCTTGGACTATTGATCATGACCCCCATCTTTAAATTTAACAAGAGCAGTGTCAAATTTGGCGTCAAATGGAAACGGTCACCTTTACATGTTCTTAATGTAGCCTTGACATGGGGAAAATTCCTCTGATAATATACTTCAAAATATGTAATTAAAAACATTAACCTATCATTCTGTGTGAATGCGAAATAAGTGGTCATCAAATATCACGTGTACAGGTACAAATACTTGCGCTGTCTCGAACCTGTGACTCGGTCCCTTTGACTGTAGAATTTTATCTTGAAGTTGGCATTTGTCACATCAACAGCTTCGAGAAGCGCAAATAAGCACTTCACATAGTTTTTGGAAATTCTGCCATATACAGGCTGTGGAATCCTGAATAAAGTAAAAAACAGAGATCTCTTGTCTAAGTTGGTTCCGTCAACAGAAGTCATGGGCATTAAGTGCAAACAAACATCTATCCCTGACATTTTATTGGGTTTTTTGTGGGTTTTTTAATAAACACCACATGCAACTTAATCAGCTGTTGTCGTTCATACGCGTAATACATGTACACATGGACATTTGTCACAATTTGCATTGGTCATTTCCTGCATAATTACTTCAATTAGTCATTGCAGACACGTCATGTGTTCTTGATTAATGATGTATGCATTCGTATTGCCATGAATCTACAATACTGAGTCTGTTACTTGATCTGGCTTTCTGGCTGGCTGTCCTTTCCTTGCTGTCTCGAAAGTCCGGATCCATCCTTAAAAAGCCCCCGAAAGAAATACATACCAAATAAATATTAATTCGACAATCAGTCCAACGATTAATTCGCCTTATGGCAACCACAAATTATCAAGAATTAAAATCTGTTGGGCATCTGCTTTTGAGCAGAACATTAACATAATTAAAAGAATCGTGAAGACATTATGCCTGATAATATGCTCTTCGTTTATGTCCGTCAATAGCCTTTTATACAATAAAGATTTGAAAATGAATTTGAATATTCACCTGATCTAAGCTCGTTGTACATAATACAGGTATTACCTGCCAAGGAGAAAAGTTCGGAGACACCTGTAGCTACTCATGCCACTGCACTCCGCCCTGTAACCAGACAACTGGAGTCTGTAACGGTGCATGTGATCGAGGTTGGTTTGGTGGGAATGGGCAAACTTGTCAGAGAGGTGAGTTTTCTTGCCACAAGTGTGTGTATGAGAGAGAGAGAGAGAGAGAGAGAGGGAGAGAGAGAGAGAGAGAGGCCTTCTACGATCTAACTTGCGTCTTATGTATATAAGTCC